CACAGAATTATAAAAGGAACTGAACAGATTCTGGGAGGAAACATTCTAAGAAAATAACTTGAGTGGCACAGATCAGCAATTTAAAAAATAATTTCCTACCAACTATCTCTCTGGATTTGCTGAAAAACAATACAAATAAAACATAACTGTTTGGAGGAGAGGCTGGAATACAGGGAAAGGAAAAGTAAATGGGGGCAAGTAACTTTTAGGGCATGAAAATTAATACCCTCTGACTGTTTCTTAAAACTGAACTCTGAATTGTGACAAAAGCGCTTTGCGTAGACTGAGACAAGCTGCCATGCCCCAGCCTTTCAATAGTTATCATACGCGGCCTAAAATGCATTCGTTCACAGAGAAGTGGAGGGCTGCTGATGAGCACTGGATTTCCCTGACCTAAATGATCCAGGCTGCCTACCTATCCAGACAAACTCACTTGTGATCCAGTTACTGAGCATCTGATATTTATGATATGCCCACAAGTTTGCTGGGCATGCAGTTGTCTTCACCACCCACCCCCATTCAAGAAAAACGTGTGAAGTCAAATGCAGATTTTTTTTTTAAATCCAAATTCTAAAAATGGTTATCCAGTGCTTGTTATCTGTACAAAACTGATAAATACAGCCTAGCTTTTCCTGCAAGGAATCTGGTTTACTTAAACCATGGGCCAATGTAACATCCATATGTGTATTTTTATTATTTTATTTAAAAATATGTAATAGACATGAAAAGCCTGCTGGTAACCCACCTTGGGGTGCTCAGCATCAAACATAGAGATATATGTTGCTGTAAAAGTAGTAGAAGTGTTTCTTCTACACACCACTGATATTATGGTTAATGACAATATCATACGAAGAAAAAATAAGAGCCTCTACCTTGAGCAAGGTCAGACCGTGGGTCCCAGGGAAGCTGGAGGCTCTGGTCAGGCAGCCACAACAGGTGCCTAAAACTGCCTGGCTACATTATCTATCAATTTCTTTCGCCAGCAGAAATAGAGATTCTTCTTTTACATTTAAAGGGGGAAATCAAACCCGGTGTGCCAAACCACCAACACTACCTTGATTATACAGCAAAGTTAAAACTGCCGGCATAATTTAGGGGGCAGTGGAGTGCACCCTTACCCCGGTGGGGCACAATGACCAGCTCCAGAACCTTGGGCAAAGGGTTAAGCTCTCTGAACTCCAGTTTTCCTCAGCCTCCATGGCTGTTGAGCACCAAGTCAGAGAATCATGTTACCCACTTTTCATGTGTTTTGCAGAGTAAGTGTTAATTAATGGTGGCTGCTGTTTCTACTTTTAAACACCAAAACACTGCAATGGCTATATTTCTGACTTATTAAAAGAAAACCCAAGATCAATGGTTGGCATGGTCTGGGGGTGAGGAAGGGGAAAAATCACAGTCACAGGGGGAGTTTTATGCGGTGATAGAGCAATACCGTGTCTTCACTGTGGTGGCAGTTACATAACTGTGCGTTTGTCAAGTCTCACAGACTGGATACCAGCAAGAATGAATTTTACTTTATGCAGTTATACCACATTTTTTAAAAGTAACAACCAAAATATTCAATTAATTTTGGTTAAAATTAGCCATCTAAACTAAAAGAAATTCATTTAATAAGTTTCAATTAATAAAATCCAAACATTTTAACTTCATTTATTTCAAAAATTAAAAAAAATCTAAGGCCTAAAATGATACCTCATAGTTTTAGACCAAGCTCTAGAAGGAAAGGATTGAACTATTTGTAAAAAATGGATGCCATCTGAACAATGAACCAAATTAACTGTTTCAAAATAAAATGATTGTATTGAATGATGGGCTGAAAGGAAATATGGAAAGAGAAAATGAAAGTGATGCTTTGTTTACTAGATTACTTAAGATGACAAACATAAAGGCTCCTTCCCTAAAAATCTAGTAATGGACCTTTGCAAATAATCTGAAAACTGTGTAACACTATTTTCAGTGAACTATGGAAAAGTAGGGAAATCTGGTGATTCCATGTCTTAAGTTCCATGATTTACTTTCTCAAGGTATTTGTGAAAGGTTCTACAATCAACACTGTTACCATGACCAAGGAGCTCTTTTAATATATATCTGTGCATCTATTTTGGCACCAAATATAGTTTTACAACAATTTCTTACTCAACACCATATTTACAAAACAGATGGAGTTCCAAAGAAATTATTTAAAATGAGAAATAGTTCTGGTCAGCTACAGTGTATTTCTGCATTATGTCCTATACCTCAGCAATAATCCTCTCTCTTTGCCTACTGTTTATCCCACTTCGGCTATTATTTCTCCCTCTGATTTGGGGACCCCCACCTAAGAGGGATGTCAAGACTAGAATGAAGATGGAAGCTAGGCATAACTCATAGGCCCAACATTTCAACTAATGCAACCCCATCAACACTGACCTCTGCTTCTGAGGTGGCATTCACTCCCTGCCTTTCCCCTCAAGTCCCCAGTTATCACCTTGCTTACTAATCTACTCCTACCTCTACCCTCCCATGATCTGACAGCATTCAACTCTTATATTCAATAGGAACATAAGGAAACCAAGGGAAGATGTCACTATTGCTATTTTATATGAGCTTCTGCTAAGCTTAGTATTTTTTGAACAAAAGCAAAATATAATTTGTCATTCATGTGACAAAAATCCCTGTGTACTATTCATTGCTTTATGAAATTTGGTGTTAAGTAAAAGATCTCTTTATCCTATTAAGATATTGTCTTGATGCTGCTATGTCTTTAGAAAATACCTCACTAAACTTGTAACATCTTGCTCCTTCAAGGCACAAATTCAAGGGGAAATGTACCAAGTTACCTATTTAAATTTAGCATACCCCTTTCCAATAATTCAGGCTTGATCAACTTTCAGCACTATTTCCATAGTTTTAAAGGGTGTTTAAGAAAATGCACTTTGAATATAGCGGCAAGGAAGAGGAATAAATCAAGTCATCTTAGGAGGTACAAGGCAATGAACAAGATACACGATGGTAAATTCAAAACCACCCATTCTAGGAATTAATGGAACTTAACAGAGAAAGCATTACTTCCTTTCATTCCTCCATTCATTCAAGAAACAATCTATTGAGCCCCTACTATGTCCTTTGCAATCTGTACCTAAAGATACGACTGTGAACAAGAACACCAACTGCCTTTATTAGAAGAAAAGTGACAAAGATAAAAGTTTGAAGTTTCAAAAACTAGTGATTTCTGAATAATTAATCATTTCCCCATATGCTTCTAGAATTTTCAATAAAGTGATATCAACTATCAAGTTCTCAATTCCACATATCAGAAGTAGTAGCAAATGATCCTTCTCCCTAACCTATGAACATAATATTCGTTGTAATATTGTAGGCTGTTGTAATTCATTCAATGTTACACTGTGAACCCCAATATGAAACCAACAAAGTTTGGATTTTCTTTTTAAAAAGTGTAAAAAACAGGCCTCCAAAAAATTGGAGGAGAGGTGTTAAAATTAGGTAGGTGGGTATCTTCTCTGGCATTTTCACCTCAAATTTCATTAAAACCACAATGCAAAATCACCACATATATCTGATAACTAATACAAATGGGTATGACACATAACTCTGTCAATAGGATTGATTATCATGCACAGTTGAAAGCAATTTCATTGGAAACATATGCTACAGAGTGAAAGAAAATAAAAGTCACTAAATAAGCTAGGTATGTAGCAAAAACATATTTTACTTTCCTTAAAATCTAAATACTTCTTGCTGCAGGTGGTTAAGACACTTGATCTTTAAGCCCTTCAGTCGTGTCCTTGCCCAGACATAAACTGTGCAAACACATGACAAAGCGAAAAGCAGTTTCACAACTGCCTGTTACATAGAGAAGCAGGAGGTATATTTCACTAGATAACTGCAGAAGTTGGTAATACCATCAGACACTTACACAGTATTTACAAGATTTCTACAGGTCCAATTAAATTTCAAATACCACCAGTGCCCGCTCTCTTCACTGTGGGCGTGGGCTGTTCTGTCCTCTCTCCTGCAGTTATCAGCCACAGGAAGGGTGGGTGCAGCCCTGCCACTGGGCTTTGCTGCTCGCTGGCCTGGTAACCCCTTGATTTTCAGAAAGCAGTGTTTTCCTATTTGCTCCAAATTTGAGCAGAATGAACTAGTCTTGCCTAAAGCTCACCAACTATTTTTTTCACCTCCATTCATGAGAAACATTTTTACATTGCAGAACAAAATGCAATCAGGATGAAACCACCACAGACTCGGGAGTTCCTAGGGTTACTTCTTGAGTTTAAAAGGCACAAAATAATCGCTCACTTTCTTCTGCTAAATAACACTGTGGAAAAGATATCAAAACCAAGCACACTGCCCAGAAGAACTTCCACAGAACTGGAGGCCTGCCTACCGCAGCAAGGAAAAGACTGAACTGTGCAGAACTGTAATCTCTCGGTGCTTTTGAGCCTAAGAAAGCGGAAATCTGCATTTGTGTTCAGAAACCTACTCCATTTCTCCGTGTGATTGGGTGACCAGAGATTTTACACCCTCCAAATATAACCATTTTCAACAGAGAACTATACACAGATGAGAAGAAGCCTATTAAATAATTTCTGTTCACCACCTGGGATTTTTAAGAAAACGTCTTCACATAATCACTAACTGTCTTTAACATAGAATAGAAACCTCACAGGGAGCATGACCAGCCTAGGCCACCACAGAAGAGCATGCCCGGCACAGACAGGTACAGGCCATAATTCCAGGCCAATCCAGGGAGAGGTGACAGCCCCAAGTTCAACTAGGAATGCCTGGGCACAGCTCTCCCTGCACATTAAGGATCACCTCTCCATTCTTTCCAAATGCCATCTGCATTCAGTCCCTGCTCAGACCCCCAAGCCCCGGCGCCTCAGTGCTTCCCGTTAGCAGCAGGCTCCCTTACACCCGTCCCTCCACCGACCCTCCCCTCCTGGGGAAGCCCACCCCGGGGACGGCTGGCGGGCGATGCGCGCCCTTCTCCCACCTACCTTGATGATGCTGCTCCTGCGGGGCAGGCCGCCGGGTTTGCTCTCCCGGAGAAGGGGGCAGGCGGCCGGGCTGGGGGACTGGGCGAGCGCAGCGCCGCGGGGGCCCCTGGCGGGGCTGGCCCGCGCTTCGTCTCCGGACGCGCCGAGGCTGCAGTCCCCGTTGGAAACCCCGCCGCTGTCATAGCGCGCCCGCCCGTGGCCGAGGCGACCTCCCCCGCCGCCGCCGCCGCCGCCGCCGCCGCCGCCTTCGCCGGCTCCAGCTTTCAGGGCGCCCCTGGCGCCGAGGGCCGGGCCCGGGGAGGTGGGCAGGGCCCCGCCAGAGGCGCCCCCCCGGCCGCACTCCGCCATGGGCGCCCCGCGGCCCGTCAGCACAAAGCCGCGTCCCCGCGTCCCCGCTGCCGCCTCGGGCCGCCGCGCGGCCCCTCCTCCTCTCCTCCTCCCGCCGCCGCCTCCTCGGCCGCTTCTTCCGCTTTTTTTTTTTAGTTTAGATGTGATGTTTGTTTCCAGCTCGCCTGGCGCGCGGTTCCAGGCTCGGCGGCAGAATTACCGGGAGATTCCTGCAGGCAGAGGAGAGAGCCCGTCAGCGCCGGCGGCGCCCGGCACCTGGGGCAGGAAAACACGCCCCGGCACACGCGCCGCCGCGGGCGCCAAAAATAACCGCGCGGGCCGGGCGCTGCCTCGGGCTCCGCACCCACCCCGGGCCGCCGGGGTCGCAGCGCGCCTCCCGCGCGCCCACCTCAGGCTCGGTGCGAGGGCAGCGGCAGGCGCCCCGACGCGCCCGGCCACGCGGAGGCGCCGCCCGAGGCCTCGCGGCCCGGAAAGGCGACGACCCCGGGGTCTCCCCAACCCCAACTCCCCGAGGCCACCTCCTGCTCGGCCGCCACCGCCGCGCAGGGCCCGCTGAGGCCTGAGACGCGGGGAGGAAGCCCCCGGCGAGCAGGGGCAGCTCCCGCAGCGTGCAGCCCGAACCCCACCGCGGCCGTCTCTTCCCCGGCCCGGCGCTGCCCCCCGGGCAGCCCGCGACCCACCGCGAGCCGCGCGGGGTCCGGCCCGAGGGGGCTGCCGTCGCAGCGGTTCTTGCCGAGGCGGGCCACCGGGCCGCGAGAACCTCTGCGGAGACAGCGAGGACCCATGGCGGGCGCACAGCTTGCAGGCTCCAGTCCCTCCAGAGCTGCAGCAACTGCCAGTCACCCGCCCGGTGCCCCGAGGGGCAAAGACCTCGCAGGCCGTGGGGCCCGGAGAGACGTACGGGGCTCCGGGGCGCGGCCCTGCACTTCCCTCCTACCCACGCCCCAGGCGCGGGGCCCGTTCAGCTCCCCGCCCGGGAAAAGGCCATCCAGACGGTGCCCTCTGGGCTTCCCCACTCGGTCAAATCCATTTCCCATACGGAAACCAGCTCCTTTCCTTTGGGCTCCTCAACTGTGAATTGATGCAACTGGTTGCAAGGATGCTGGGCCGGGGGGCGGCGAGAGGTGAGGAGCAAAGGACCACGGTGGGGCCCGTTCTGTGCCCTTTGAGTCGCCCTACAGGGATTTATCACCGCGTCCCTCCAGCCCAGTGTCCCTCTTGATCCCGTCGCCGGGGATGCCTGCTGGTCCAGCCCTCTGCGGGCCCCGCCCCAGCTCAGGCTCATCTTTTGAGGTAGGATCCTACTTGGATAGCCACAGCCCGTCCCTCCTCTCGCTGATTCTTCCCGCTTCTTCTCCTTCAACGCTCCAGGAAGAGTGGTGGGCCTAAAAATCGACCCTAATGTAGTCGCTCTCCCGAGCAAATACCTCCCCTGATCTCTATCCCTCCAACCAGACAGTGCCCAAACTCCACTGCGTGGTACCCGCGGCCACGCCCACCTCTCCATCCCAGGCTCCCTGCCTCTAGCCTCAGCCCTTGCCTAGCACCCAGCTCTTCTACAACTAGTGTTTCCTTTTCTGGGATTGGGCTTCCCGCAGGGCGCGATGAAGAACCGGATAGTCCACTGGGAGGTGAACTTAAAGACCTTGTTTTCATTAGCATGGAGTAGAAACTGCCAAGTAGCCTCTGAGGAAACGCTTTTCATACTTACACACACCCGTCCTTGCCTCCAAAACAACTTCAAATACCTCAGTCAAATACCTCAGTGTTAATCTTGGGGACATTTTAATTCTGATCCTTAGATTCATGTTTCTGTATCCAATCAGAAAAGTTTTATCCATCTCTACCCAGCGTTGGCCTACACACTAACAGAAATATTTTCACTTCCATGGACAACAGTGTTGCAGTATTTTATTCGTTCCCGTCCCTTTTCTTTCTTCCTTCTCTCCCCTCCCCCATCCCATCTCCCCCCCCCCACCCCGGGTTTGGTTCACTTTTTTTTCAGACTTATGACATTTTTGCAGAAAAATACTATATTCAAATAATTCAAATTAAATTCTTAATCTGCTTTATCGAGAATGCTTCTGGGGAGGAAAGGAACAATCTGGGCCTCTATTCTTAAAGTTCTTTAATTCTGGTATTTTGAATAAACGCCTGGAGGTGTCTCTGCCCTTTCCTGCATTTGCCAATCACGAGAAGTATGCTATGAGAGTCATATATCCTGCAACTTGTACCATGAGTTTCCTGGGGTGAGTGGGGACATACCGAGATTTAAATCTCGTGCATGCTTTTTATAAAACCACAATCTAATTCACCTAACGCATTCCAAAATGAGCACCTATGCATCTCACTCTGGACTCCCAACAGGTTAAACCAGGGAGACTTCCTTGAAACAGACTTGGCATTTAAATTAAAACATTTCCCAAAGTGTCTTGGCAGACCTGTAACTAATGATGCCAGAAGCCCAATGTCTGTGCCAGGTTCCTTTTTATCCCCTAAGTGCTTGCCTCCCACAAGCCACTGGTCACATGCCTGCTGATGTTATAGCTGTACTTCCTCATCACACGAACAGCCAGACCGCAGGTACCATTTCTCCTAGATAGTGATGGGAAGCAGCATGTTCCTCTGACATGTGCAATTCTTGACTCCCAGTAGGCTTCCTAATAGCTAAACTAAGATTTTTCTCATCACAAACAGCATAGTAAGCAATTATTTCTCCTCCTTCCTGCCTTTCTCTCTGCAGTTACTAAGTGATTGCTTTCCATTTCCCCTATTCTGTGAGCAATGTTATTGAAGAAATTGTAAACAGTTTGCCAAAATTCTTACTCAAGTGTTTTCATGTCATTGTAAAATTCATAGAAGTTAGAGCTACAAAAAGAGCCAAAATAGCCAAAATTCTTATTCAAGTGTTTTCATGTCATTGTAAAATTCATAGAAGTTAGAGTTACAAAAAGAGCCAAAATAGCCAAAATTCTTATTCAAGTGTTTTCATGTCATTGTAAAATTCATAGAAGTTAGAGTTACAAAAAGAGCCAAAATAGCCAAAATTCTTACTCAAGTGTTTTCATGTCATTGTAAAATTCATAGAAGTTAGAGTTACAAAAAGAGCCAAAATAATCATAGTCATTCCTCAGCAAGTGCTGTTTAATGAATGGTTCCTTCAGATGAATTTTGAGAACAGGGCAATAAGAGATAGGCAAGACATTAATAAAATGCTCACTCTGGAAAACTCTGTAGTGGTTATGCCAATTTGTTATATATATATACACACACACAATGGTTACATGCTGATGAGTAATTTGTTCATAAAGTTTAAAGTCAATAACTACCTTTAAAATCTCATTATGTTGTCATGCCCACAATACATAGCTTTCTCTCTTTTAAGTTTTCTTCATATTTCAAACCATCTCAGCTTTTAGTCATTGTTGTCGCTTTTCACCAAACTGTCTTCTATTTGTTTGTATCTTTAATTTGATGCCTAAAACATGAGCTATTCAAGCTCCCTGGTCCATAATGGCCTTCCTTCATCCTCCCAAAGTAACACTGATGCTGTTTGCTGACTTCTTGCCATCATTTATATCCTTGTAGATTATGAATTCATATCTAGTTTCCAGTTCACAGGCTCTAATATTACAACTCTTTGAATTTTTCTGACTCACTGAGTGCTTGGCCTTCCAATTATTTTTTACCTCAATGTATTATGACAATTTCATTTCCCCAAATCTCAATCATTTTATTTCTGTGTTTCTCTAAATACACAGTTAAACCTCTGAGACTTCATATCCAACTGCCCCCCATGTGCTTAATCTGAGAGCTAACTAGAGCAGAAAGTAGAAAACAAAGTGTTTTAAGGAAATGCCAGATTATATCAATGTCCTGGTGCACACTGGCTACCTGTTTGCTTCTTAAATTAATCCAAGATGTTGATTTTAATCTCTTATGCTCCTAAGGCTTAGATTATGCTGATTTTATCATGATCCTCAACAAGAAATATGTAGTGATTGCTTCACGGGCACCAATGAGGCAGTTAGACCAGTCAGAAGCTTTCATTTTCATGTTCTTCCTCTCCTGTAACACTAAAGATCTTTCACCCACTTCCCTTGGATTTATCCTCTACAAGTATATAGAGCTCTCAAGAAGTTAGGCACTCAGGGGAATCCGCTGACACTTTTCAGACTCTGAGGAACCACTGTGTAAATTCATTAAATTGTTAGTGCCTACTGAGCTAGGTAGCACACTTTGAGGGACTCTATTAATTACTGAGATTCCATAAGATTATTCTATCAGCAAAAGTAACAATTGATTTGCTCCAAAAATTACTGTTGCTTATCACACTACTTTTGTAAACTCTCATGCATTTGATCGTATTTCTACTATTATTTTATTACAGGAATCATTGCCAACTCCAGTGCCTATAGGTCTAAGGTAGATGATACCACAAGAAAATATGTTAGGATTTGTTTCACAAAAGCATAATTTATACTTTTTCAGCAGTGACACATTTCAGATACGAAGGAATACTCTTCCTGATCATCTTTGTTTTTCCAGTTTTGAAAGAGCTTTAGGTACAAGGTACCCAAAGCTTTCCTCCTAACTCTAAGAAAGTGTGACCATGATGATAAATAGCAACTGGCCCTCAGCCATATATGGGGCAGCAATATGGGGTGGTAGGGACTCAGACAACCTGGTGAGGACTCATATTGCTGCCATGAGGGAACCCTGGGCCACTGCTGCCAGGATAATCTTAATTTTCCAGAGAAGCCAAAATCTGGAATATAAAACTTGGCTATTGTGTTAGTTCATTCTCTTAAGAGAGGTACACCCACAGAGTAAATACCATTCTGTATAAAGTCTACAGAGAGGCCAATTTTTTTTATCCTAGCTCCTAGCTGCATGATAAGCAAAGTGTAGCAAATACCTTCCAAATTTTGCATTGATTTGTGTCTAATCAATCTGACCTCCAAGCATGATTTTAGTGAGTTTAAGAAGTCTGGTAACTGTATCATTTTATGCATCCCTATGTGTGATGTGTTGCCTCCCAGCTTACTTCTCTTCCCTTTTAGCCACTCCCACATCCCAACCCCAAAACTGTTTTTCATCTCTGAGATTGGAAACCCATTGTCTAGCCAAAAATTCTGCTCTTTCTTCAGCCCATTCCCTTCTGCCCCCAAACCCACCTTGCAGCCTTAGCCAGGCCTGTACCTCCTCCACCATCTTACTTCTCTTCCCTTTTAGCCACTCCCACATCCCAACCCCAAAACTGTTTTTCATCTCTGAGATTGGAAACCCATTGTCTAGCCAAAAATTCTGCTCTTTCTTCAGCCCATTCCCTTCTGCCCCCAAACCCACCTTGCAGCCTTAGCCAGGCCTGTACCTCCTCCACCATCCTCTTCTCAATCCATCAACACTCCTGTTTATGCTGCTGCTTCACCAGCCTGGGCCTCATGAACAAAACTTTCAACCACATTCTCACGACCAGCCTAGACCTTTCATATCATTGTCTTGCAGCTCTGCCCACCTCGCCAATCTACAGCTTTGCATAAATCCAGCCATGACTTTCTCCATGCATGCCCCCAGGCTGCCACTCTGCTGGAGGGAAAAATTCATATAGCCACATAGATTGGACAAGTGTGTGATTTCTGTTCAGCAGGGCCTTTGATGCTCTCAGGCAGTATGGTACTGTTGGTTGACTGGCTCCAATCTCCATGCTCCAAACGATTACTTCCAAATCCCAACTGACCCATCGCCTCTCCATCTTAGCAGTAGTCCTAGGATTCTACTTCACACCAACCATGAATCAAGAAATAAACTGCCTGAACTTTTCCTTCAACCCGTTTATCCTTGCCTGGCTTACCACCCCTACATCTTAGGCTAACTCCAAATCAGAAACTATCTAAGAATGTGTTTTATGATTACTGGACTATTCTGTTCTGACATGATTGATTTTTTTCTTTGGGAACCAAAGGGTTTCATAACCCTCTTTTGGATAAAAGGTGGAGTGGCCAGTCTCGATGCGAATCATACATGGGCAAAAATCAAGGATTTGAAAGGCAGCCTCAGACCAAAGAGAAAGGAAATGCTTTCTTCCTTCTGGGCCACCCTCTCTCTGACGGGTGTCTCAGGTCTTCGCCTTCTTGACCCTTGACCTTTGTGGGACATTTGATACTGCTGACTCTCCTAATATCATTGAAACTCCAGGGCAGTGAGGAGAACTGGGCCTCCAGGAGCCAGGTGGGGAAGGAACTGCCTTCACCAGAAACCCCATGAGGCGAGGCCCCCGGGCTCTGAGGACAGGGCCATGAGCCCAGCCTCAGTTGCTCTCTGTGGTGTAGTAAGGGATGGGTTAGGCATTACGGCTCCTCTCAGCTGTACTGTGGTGGATAAAGGGCTGGCTGGGCTACAGAGGAAAGAGGAGCCCATCCACCCCCATCTCCACAACCAGTGCCGTGGCTGCGACAGCCACTAGTGGGGTTCCGGGGAAGGGAGATCCCTGAGCAGAGGACCGGTAGTGTCCCTGCGAGCTTCTCCCCCCTTCTCAGACTGGCAGAACTGGGGCTGATCTTCTACTGCCTTGCTCAGTCCCATCTCCTCCTCCACATCTCTCTACATCTACAGAAACACAGTCTAGACTCACCTCCCTAAATTTTTGCAATTACCAGCCTATTTCAACTGGCTTCCTTCCTCTTCTGCTGAAACTGCCCTCCCAAAGGTGATAGCTGGCCTCTCAGTGAACAAGCCCTGTGGTTTCCGTCTTTCTCTCCCTTGACCTTTGTGGAACATCTGATATTGCTAACTCTCTTCGTATCATTCAAACTCTCTCTTCCCCTGCTGAGATTCTTGCTCTGGATGTGCCACAGGAATCTCAAAATCAACATGCCTCAGGTTTAATTCACCAAATCTGTGCTTCTACAT